ACGGGGGGACTCGGGCAGGAAGAGGGTGCCGATACCCAGGATCAAGGGCCAGGCGAAACCGATACCCATGGTGATACGCCAGGAGGCAGTGGAGTGGATTCTCTCAGTGCCGTAGTTGACAATGTAGGAGATGAAGATACCGAAGGCGACGAACAGCTGGAAGGCACTGACCATGGCACCACGAACCTGGACGGGAGCAGATTCACTCTGGTACATGGGGACGACGCTGGACAGAGCCCCGACACCGAGACCGGCAACCCAACGGCCCATGGCGACCTGGACCCAGCTGGTGGAGGTGGCAATCTGGATGATGATGCCAACAATGTGGATGAGAGACCAGAAAGAGATGGAGAGCTTGCGGCCGAAACGGTCGGCAATGGGAGCAGCGGTCAGGGCACCAATCATAGTACCGATGGAGAGCTGACACAGCGGTTAGTTTAATTTACTTAGGGCGATCTCGTAGCCGAGCACGGAATGAACAACAAACATACCAGACCAACGATCAGACCGGAACGAACGTTGCTGAAGGCATAGGAGCCATCAGCCTGCTGCTCACCGAAGCGCATCAGGAAATCCTGCATAGTCTCGAAACCGGAGATTTGACCTGTGGGGAGGCGGGGTGTTAGCCGGAGTCGGGGTCGGGGGTCAAGAGGGGAAAAGGATCGCCATGCATACCAGTCGAGTAACCGAAGATGAAACCACCCATGGACACACAGAGACCAAGGATGAACGAACGCCAGGTGAGATACTTGACGGGAGAGTCGTCAACGATGCCGTGGTCCTTCTCCGCGTAGGAGTCGGAGCGAGCAGGAGTGGAAGCCTCCGAGTGCTCAGTCGAAGGCTTGAAGCGAGACATAATGCTGTGGACACCCATGTTGCCGGTGGGTTCACAGACACAAAGGCAAATTGAATGAGATTCCCTCTTGACAGTTGTGGATGAGTGTGAAGGGAAGTGAAAAGCACACACAAACTGATGGGTGAAGGGGAAGATGTCAAGAGTGAGAAGCTGGGGGAAGTGGAGGAATTATATACGGAGAGATGGAGAAGAAGACCCGAACGGACTCGGTAAGGATGACGGCGGCGTCATCAACAAACGGACTGAAAAAGGCAAGGGAAAAGAATTTTTGAACCCAGCAGCAGCAGCAGCAGCAGCACTCGATCCGTCGGCAATTCGCCTCCATCCCAGGGATTGGAGGAAACACCCCATGGCCCATTCTTGTCGGGGTAGGACCATGGGCATGGGCAAGGAAAAAACGGGGGCCCAGATCTCAGCGTCTCAGTTTGGGATTATTTTTTGATTATTTTTTTTCTTGTGAATTTTTCGACTCGGGATTTACCCCGAAAACAGAGCCGGGACGAACGAGGGTGGGAGAATTCGGAACATTGCAAAGCTAGGGGGAAGTGGAGGGAAAGAGATTCCGAGCACATTATTGGGCATGATGGGCGAAGTGGAGAAACCGGGTCTGGAGACTGGAGAGGGCAGGCCGACAGAAAGCGGCACTAACCCGGAGAAACGTGCCTGACTAAAGGCTGAAGACGGCGGAGACAAGGAGGGAGGGAGCGAGGAATTTGGGGGAGAGAAAGTGGGAGAAAGATGTGGGTTGAGGGTGGGAGAGTGAGGAGAGAGTGAGGAGATTATTTGATGGGGAAAAGGAATGGAACCCTTCTGGAATCCTCCCGATCCGGCTTTTCATTGCTCTGGCAGGCAGTCACGAGTGCCTACCCGATTCGGTCATTCTGCATCTTATGCATTCCATTATTATTGCAGTATTACTGCATACACTGGGCAACTTAACTTAGTTACTGTACATACCCAATAACTTAGCTATTGAATGACAGCAGATTACATCTGCCACCTCTACCTCTACTGTACACTATTGATTCTATCCTTCCATCGGCTCCGGAATCGACTCCCCTTTCGGGCTCGTGGCCTCCGTCATTGTGATGCCGCTTGCAATCTAAATTGCTTCCTACAGCACTCCGTGACCAGGTTGAGGCCCGTGTGATGCGATGCGGATGCGCCCATCAACCAGTCCTACCGAGTACAATTCCATTGTTCGCCAATCGGGCCTTATTCGAGACCGGGTGGTTTGCCACCCAGACACAGTACACAACAATTGAACAGAGGGTGCCGTGCATGCCGATGACAGCTTCAGGTTGTGTTACGATGGTTGAATGGGATGCTGTGCAAGAGCGGATGGGCGGGCGCATGATCCACCACCACCTTTGCTTTCCTGCTACGTATAGACAGCAACTTAAAGTCCAGTCCAGTTACTAAGCCCAGGATGAAGTAATCCAACACCGCAGCCGAACAAACAGAGCCTTCTTCACGACGAGGACCAGAGACCATGATCCACCAGCGATTCAGTGCTCTGGCTTTCTCGGTTTTCTCTGTGTCAGAGAATTGACGCGAAGGAAATGAAAAGATTTTTCTACTCGCCTGGTTGGCAATCAAACAGACAACCCCTGAGGAACCAGAAACCGTGCAGCAGTGAGAGTCGTAGTAAAGTTGCCGCAAGCGGTACCAATCGAGGGAGATCCGCGGGCGCCAAGTGGGGCTTGCCCAGTGCTGGTTAGTGCTGGTTTCGCCCTGCAAGCAGAAATTTTCTGCTTTTTTTTTTTGCGAAGAGAGAATCCCGTGTCGATCCCGAACCAAGGCCGGCCACAACACTCAGGAACAACACCACCGTCACCACCACAGCGTCATCGCTTTCGGTCTCGCCGTCTGGGCTGATATACACAACACCATCCAACAAGAATGAGAAAAAAAAAAGAGTATAGCTTACAATGAGTTAGGTGTGCTATAATGTGGAATAAGTACTAAGTCTCTAGCAATACCACCATGTACCACCCCCTCACCCCTCACCAGCAAACCAAGTGCAGCGTCAGCAGCAACCCGAGCCCCTCCTCTCGGCCACCCGAACCCTCAGCCTACAAAATCCCTCGGAATCGGCATTGCACCGCCAGACGCCCAGAAAGTTGTCTCGGTGTGCCGAACCCAGCACCGCTAAACCCAGGCTAGGCAGACTAGCCCACTAGACGAGGCTAGACGAGGGGCCGCTAGCCAAGGCAGAATCTGGATCCTTCCCGTTTGAAGCTCACCGGTGGCGGGTGGAGTGCGCACCACTCGACGGAAGTTGGCCGATCTGCACTGGCTCGAACTGGTTTCGGCGGCCCGGTGAAAAGTTTTCTCGCTGGTCAGACAATCCATGTTGATGAGCTGTTATCGGCATGCCGGACGGGGCGAGAAAGCCCAAACACTGGCAGGCGCAACGGGTGCCCGTCATCTATCTCGGCTTTGCCCGTGCGAGATGAGAATTTCTTGCTCTCGTGGTGATTCGGCCGATATAACCGATCTCTTGTGCTGTTGTGTGTGCTGCACACAGTACGCGAACTCTCCCTCGACTCAAAAGTGTATACAGCAGTTAGAAATGTAGAGCAGACCAGACCATCTGAAATCATCACACAACCCAGCAGAACCTCACACCACCAAGACAATCACCCAGTCGAGGTGAAAAGATCAACCCACCCAACCGGCAACGGCACCACCTACTGTTCTCTAGACCGTGGACTACTAAAAACACTGCCGGAAGCAGAGTGGAGCCGGGCCTCACTCACCTCACCAAGGAATGTCCCCACTTTGAGTCGGGTCGACGTACTGTGTAGACTGAGGGCTGGCTCTCACCCGTCCCGAATGCGGTCTAGCCAGCCTGATGTTTCACCCGAAATCAGAACAACAAACAACGCTGCACTCGGCCTCTGGAATGATAGCCCAAGATAACATACTGGCATTTGTTTGCAAACAGAATGCATTCTAGGTGTCTGGATAAACACACTCCCGACAGCTATGCCCTCTAGCAAAGACACAATTCTCCCATTCAACGACTCCCCTCAAAAAACAACAGACATGTAAATGTAGAACTACGGTATCAAGCCTAAGGCATCCATCCAGGAACCCAAGCGGCGAAACAGAAAAACTCAGTCCCGGTTCCTGACCCATTCCCAACCAAAACCCAGTTTGCCCAGAACGAAAAAAATTTCTGTGTTTCATTTTCGTTGTATTTGGATCAAACCAAACAACCACCTCAAACCCGAACCACGCTGTAGCCTGTAAGCGAAGCAGCACCGGACCGGGTGTGGGTATAGTAGACTACTAAGGGTATAGCTCACTGCACTGTGCACGCAAAGCGAGGATCCAAGTGACCTGGTGAACACCACACGTACACGTAAGAGGCCAGCCAGCCAGCCTATACACCCCAGCACTCTGCGAGGGACATAAATCCTACCTGTACCATACCAGTGCCACAAGGGAAAGCATCTACAATCATCACAACCACAACCAACCCAATGACATCCTCATCCTCATCATCACCATCAGTATCAGTATCAGTAGCAGTATCATCAATATCCTAACCTTGAAGCCCGCAACCCAAACCTGCCAGCCAGACCATCCCATCGAAAAGGGAAGCAATCCCGGCCACCGCCTGCACCGCGGACCAAGATAACATGGCCATGATGATAGATACTTAGCACTAGCCCTCCCTGGTCTAGACTCTAGACTCGCCAGACTCGCTGGAGACACGTAGATACCACGCTGCGGCCGATGAGATCATACCCTCGCCCTCACACTTCCCTTAATTCCACTGGCCGCAAACTGTACACACCTGCATAAGCGGTGAGAATCCGAAACACAACGTCGATGTCGACCTTCGGCGTCATCGGCCTCGAAACCAAGGTTTCAGGCACTGTAACCAAGCTACACATCATAACATAAAGGGAAATGGAGTGGCGTCAGGGACGAGAACACGTAGAACCGGAAAGAAGAATGTCTGCGACGATAATTACGACACCTACAGTAACTACGGCATAGCATATACCTGCAAGCCTCTGGGCTCTTGGTTTGAGGTGTCAGACCGCTCATGCAGGGAATAAATCCCTGTTGGTCCCGTGGTGGACATGCACCTCTTTTGGATGCATGCCATGCTCTGCTCACGGTTTGTCTCATTTTTGAGAAGGCAATCCACAGTCCACGTACTCTGACGTGCATACACTCCTAGAAAGCAATGCGGTGGAATTGGCAGCGGAAACTAAGGGGAACCTTGAAGGCTCCCGTCGCCACCTGCCCGACGGTTTAGGGAAATGCTATCTTTTGCGAAGGTTCAGGGTAGCTGGAGTAAGTGATCAGATTCCCTATCTGTCGATCTGTGACTGCAAGCATCCCCCCTTTGTCTACCCTGATTGGCCCAATATCACCACGTGTAGGGGATCGATGGCGAGGTCCAGCCGGTCCCGTCCCCTGCTTAGGAAAGCCGAAAGATAAGGCTAAAAAAAAACAAGCCCCTCCCCTCTTCCCCCGAGCCGTTCGGCAACCCGAGACCGACGCTGCCAGATCCATCCGGCTCGGCTTGCCGAGTGACAGATTCTCACACCGAGCCTGCTACCCTTCACCGTTGCGGAATTCAGGCCGAACTCCACACCCTCCCCTGCCCATCCCCCGCGTAGAAACTCTCCCCCAGCCATGAGCCACTTCCCCTCGCGCTTCCCTCCCTGAGTCACTCCCACGTGGTCGTGCGGGATCGGCTCTAAGAATAGAAAGGATCCCCCCTCCCCCACCGACTAGGTGCTCTTCTTCCCCTTCTCCCGCTCGGCCTTGCGCAGCGCGCGCTTGCGGATCGCCTCGTGCATCCCCTTGTTCTGGCCCACCACGAACTTGCCCATGGTGCCGGTGATGCAAGTCAACAAGTAGGCCATCAGGCCGTGGCTCCAGTAGGGCGAGGAGCTGTACGCGTAGCTGGGGGAGCCGCCGTTGCGGCCGATCTTGGAGAGCACCGCCTTGACGAACGAGCGCGGGTCGGGGATCGTGGCGCTGGTGCGGCGGATCTTCGACATGGCCGAGGTGATCAAGTAGGCCTGGACCAGCTCGACGGTGATGCCGTGGGGCTCGAGCTCGGCGCCCAGCGAGGTCGACCACTGCTGCAGGAAGGCCTTGCTGCCGGAGTAGGTGGCCAGGAGCGGGGTCGGGAGCAGGCCGCCGAAGGAGCCCATGGTCAGAACCAGCCCGCGCTTCCGCTGGATCATGCCCGGCACGACCAGCTGGGTCGCCCGCAGGGTCCCCATGCAGTTGATGGTCACGATGTCGGCCAGCTCGTCCTCCGGGGTCAGCGCGAAGGGGGTCGGGATGTTGTGGCTCTTGCCGACGTTGTTGACCAGCACCGCCACGTCCAGCTCCGCCACAATCGCTCTGAGTTGGTCGTAGTCGCTGTCCTGGTTGCGGGCAAAGTCCATCGCCAGGGTCCGCGTCTGCACGGCGGGGTACTTCGACTGGAGTTCGTCGCGGAGGGCGTCGAGCTTGGAGGCGGTCCGGGACACGAGGACGAGGTTGAAGTCGGCGCGGGCCAGTTGCAGGGCGAACTCCTTGCCCAGTCCGTCCGAGGCGCCGGTCACCACGGCCCAGCTACCCTTGGGGCCGAAGGAGCGGAGCTGTGCACCACCAGATGAGTCAGTTCCCTCCACTGCGATACATTGGTGGAATCGAGAATCGGACTTACCGGCTTGCCAGGGAGCACGAACAAGCTCAACAAGACCCGAACGAGGAGCAAGGCGCGGGAGACGAGGTACAAGCTCCCAGCACCCAGAAGCAGGGAGGCGCCGACAGTCTGCCATCCCGGCTGCAGATGAAGGTGCCAGTTGGACAGGCAATCGAGATGTCTGGTGATGAACTCCATGATTGCGATCGCCCACGGCGTGACCTGAAGACAAACAATCAAAATGCGGAGGGGGTTGTAACTTGTGAGTGCAAAAGGAGGGGAAGTGGGAAATTGAAGACGCGGAGGGATTGACGGGATTGACGCGGAGAAGGAAAAACCGGAGCTGAGCTGAGCTTGCGTGCCGTGCAAATTGTTGGGGTTTGCCAAGCCGGCAACTTCCTTTTCGCATTTCGACCACCAACAAACGGGCACCTGCACGGCACTCTATCTAGCTTACCTCCTAAGCTGCATCCCGAGGAGCTACGGAGCTTCATCTTTTTTGATCATTCAGCTTTGCATCACCTCGGTATAACCACCGCCAATATACCCCCCCGGACTTCTTCAGATAATCCACCCTCCCCCCAAAAAAAATGCTCTCCCTCCCCCCCTTCGAGGGCTTCCTCCCTCAATGGCTCGTCCTGGTTCGTTCTCTCCGTCTACACCGCTCATTCCCAATCCCAATCCTCACCTCACAATCGCACGCACACATCCCCAAAACAAATATCTAATTCCCCCAAAAAAGGTCTCCGTCGTCTCCGCCGCCAACAGCCTACAAGCCTACCGCTCCGAAGCCTACGCGGCCGAGCTCTACAACGGCCGCACCCCGGAGGGCTACGTCTACACCAACCCGCTCTCGTCGCGCACCTTTGGCACCTGGACCTTCCTCTCGGCCGTCATCCGCTTCTACGCCGCCTACAACATCAACAACCCGGCCGTGTACGACCTGGCCCTGTGGACGTTCGGCATCGCCCTGGTGCACTTCGTCGGCGAGCTGGTCAAGGGCAGTGCCCGGCTGCGGGGCCGGTTCGTCAGCCCGCTGCTCGTCGCCTCGTCCACGTTGACGTGGATGTTCTGGGAGCGGGCGTGGTATTTGGGTGCTTAGGGGCTGGGGGATAGTTCACAAAGGGATGGGTAGGTGGGGGATTGGTGGTTGTTGTAGGGAAGGGGTGTTGGTTGTTGCTGAGGTGGTGGGGTTTAGGGGCGGGGTGTGAGGGGGGAGGAGGAGTAATGGATGAGGATAAGGGCGCATGTTCAGTAATGTTAACTTAACACTAATGATATTGAGTTCATGTCGAGTGGTCTGTCTGGATAGTGGAATTGGCATTTTCTGGTAGTAGTTGGTTAACAGCTGGAAAGTTGTTGTGCATGAGGCAGGGAACTCTGGCTGCAGGGTCTGCCGATCCGGCGGCTCCACTTATATATATCTGTATCTCCGGATCGATCGATCGCGTACCTCCACAATCCTGAAATCGCAGATCCGTTGATTTACTTAACACAATTTGTCATGAGAGTGATTTCTCTATTCGAAACCAATAAAATAAAGGTAAAAGACAATACACGAAAAAAAGGTAGAAGCTCGAGGGTAAGCAACACAGAATGTACAGCTATTATCGAATGTATGTGCACTATCATTAGAACCCTATATCTACAACCTAGGCATCCATCTTCTTGCGGTACAGTTCTCCTCCGCAGCCACGGAGTCTAGCAGCCGCCTGCTCCGGGGTGATATCACGCTGAGGCTCGCCCAACATCTCGTATCTGAAGCCTTGTCAGTTTGCATTTCACATAGAGTCCACGAAAATCATCACTCACCCCACCAAGAACTTGCGGACGGTCGCACTGCGCAGCAACGGAGGATAGAAGTGCAGGTGGAGATACGAGGCCTCGACCTCCTCCTCGGTGCCCTCCAGCGGCGCCTGGTGGATGCCCATGCTGTAGGGGAAGTGCGTCTCGAACAGGTTGTCGTAGCGGCGGGTGACCTCGGCGATGGCCTCGGCCAGATGGGCCTTCTCGGCCTCGTTCAAATCGACGAGGGCGCGCTTGTGCGTCTTGCTGACGACCATCGTCTCGAAGGGCCAGACGGCCCACCAGGGGCACACGACGAGGAAGCTGGCGTTCTCGAACACCACGCGCTCCTGCTTGCGGCTCTCCAGCGCGGCGTAGTCCTCCAGCATGTGCTTGCCGCCGTGCTCGCGGCGGTACTTCTGCAGCTGCTCCAGCTCCATGGCGGGCTCCTCGGGCAGCGAGCTGGTCGTCCACACCTGCCCGTGCGGGTGCGGGTTCGAGCACCCCATCGCCGCGCCCTTGTTCTCGAAGATCTGCATGTACCGGTACTGCTCCTTGGCCGCCGCCGGGCTGGCCGTCGGCGCGTCGGGCGGCAGCGTCGTCGCCGGCGCCACCGCCGCCAGCGGGGACTTGGGCGACAGGTGCGCCGTGTACAGCTGGGTCCAGGCGTCGATGACGGGCACGATCTCCGCGGGCGACAGGTCCGCCAGGGTCAGGTTGTGCGCCGCCGAGAAGGTGAGCACGTAGCATTTTCCGGTGACCGGCTCCGCCTTGAGGAAGAAGGACTCCGCTTCTGGAGGCAGAAAGCTGTGAGTAAGGGGTTGGTCCGCTGTGTGAATGGCTTGTTTCAGACTATACCTTCGGTGCTTTCCGGAGTATACGGAGCCTGCTCCTCCTTGACTGCGCTGTAATCGTTCACGAAGACAAACGTTTTGTCATACTTGGGGTTGGAATCACCCTGAGCGCGCTTGTTGCCCGGGCAGAGATAGCAGGCAGGATCATACGAGGGCAACGTGGTCTTAGACGGGCTCTCCTGCTGACCCCTGGACAGCAAGTTGACATTAGCTGCTTGTACTTTCGTACGTTTCTTGAGAGTCTAGAGAAAGGGGCTCCCCCAGAAACCCGATAGACCCAGCACTTGAGATCACGCCAGCATAACACTTACTGCCAGGGACGCTTGGTCCGGTGAGGCGAGACCAAGATAGAAGACCCGCGCAGAGGGTTGTATCTGCGGTGGGAGATGTCGTCGAGAACTTTTTCAACCATTGTCGCGAATGATTTGCGCTGAATAGAATACGCGAAAGAAGAGAACAGGGAGTGTGAGAATCAGAAGAGAAGCGAAAAAGGAGGAAGAAGAGAAAAAACAGCAGAGAAGTCCGAAGCGAGCGAGGGAAGAAAAACCTGGGCTGGCTGGCGGGGCCGGCCGTCGCGGGGCTCCGGAAATTATGCCCACCACGGGGTAGACCAAAAGCCACTCGGGTATTTAAGCGATGGACCCTGACCCTGCCATGTAACTCCAGGCACCTTGTCGTTGGTAATGCCGATGAGTGATAGACTTTGCGAAATTTCTCCGGAAGTACTGACCGTGCTATCAGGGGTATAAAGGGCAGAGAATGGGGGGTATGTGCAATGGTTGAACCCTTTTCGGCGTCAGCTTCCCCGCGGTTAGCCGACTTGAGTGGAGTTCCTACGTCGGGCCGACCAGCTGACGTCATCCACGTCAACTGGTCAGTCAGCATCACATGGTCGGGTCTGTGTCTGTTATCATCCAGTTATCACAGTATCACAGTACAGTCCAGACGTACAGGGTGCATACTACAGGCATACGCATACACACATTGCACAGCAGCAAGAATAATGCTATGAGTATGGCCAGCGACAACAACAGCACCTCCAAGACAAACCTCTTCTCTCTGCCTAACGAAGTACGCTTGAAGCCTTGACCCTTGACCTCTTATCATCCTCCCCTCCCCTCCCCACCCCACTCTGCCTCGCTAATCAACATCCCTCCATTCACCGACCGATCCAGGTCCTCGTGCAAATTCTCTCCAGCTTCTCAACCCGCTCTCTTCTCCCCTGGACATCAGTCTGCCACCATTTTCATGCCTTGATCCTACGCATCCTGCACTACCGGCTCCGCATCGCCGCCTCCCTGCCGGAATACAAGCTCATCCTCGAATGCTTCCACCCCAGCTCGAAACTCATCGAGCCCCATGTCTTCTGCACCTACATCGGCACGGACGCCCTGAGCAGCCAATTTGATGGGAAGGGCTCGTTGTACGAGAACGTAGACACCGCTGAGCGCCTCGGCCGACTCGGTTCGGTGTATTCGCGGTTCCGCCCGGAGCGAACACCGGAGGATGGGACATCGCCAACGACGCGATGGGGGTCTTATGGGACTGGTAAGTGGTCTTCGATTCTGCTTTTGGAAAAACGTTGTGCAGGCATGATGAGCTGACTCTTGGTAGACGAGGAACTAGATCACGACCCGGACAACAGGACCGTAACGCGTCTCATTAACCTGGAAGAAGTCGAGGACTTCTCCCAGTTGTGCGTGGTGGTCAATGTGGTGAAAGTGATCCCGGGGAGCGATTTGTTGCTGAGCGCCCACACGGTCGAGGATGGGGTGATTCGAGTGTTCCGGAATTGGCTCAAGGAGCGGGAAGGACGGGATCGGGACCGGGACCAGGTTCATGCGCATGGCATTAATCCACCCGACAGGGCTTCTGTGAAAGGCTGTGACGACGCGAGTATGCTCTGGGTTGATCCAAGTCGCAACGTTGGAATCAAGGCGCGGGTTCGGGGAAGGCGGTATGTCGACCAGCAGATGCCGTTGCTGGTTCACCGCGACGAGGAGCAGGAGACTACATATGAGCTGGACATTGAGGGTAGGCTACTCCTTCTCTCAGATGTGGTGACGTATTTGCTGACCGGTGTAGAACTACATATTCGGACCACTTGTCTTCTGATGACCGTGGAGAAGTCGCAGGAGGAGCAGAAGAACTATCCAAAAGCCGTAATCTTCACGCGGACAGTATGATTTATGACCATCGAGCTCTGATTGATATAGTGTTGTTAAGACTCGTGAGGTATAGCGCATAGAATCAGTGCATCAATATGCAGTACTTGTCAATATGAATTGCCTGCCCAGTGCGTCATGCATGCCTCTTCTGTATGAGTAGCAGCAAATGGGGCAAGAAAGCCGACCGGCAAAAAGAAACCGCCTGAAGATAAGCGACACGCACTAATCCGCATGCGGAGATTTTACCTCGGCACGTTTTCAGCCCCCTTATCGCTGATTGGCCGGTGCCTGTCTGCTAACCGGATAAGCGGTGCCGAAGCAGCATGAATTTGAAATCGATTGTGTCAGGTTCCACCCTCAAATATCGGCTGCATTATTCATTTCATCTACATTTTCTGATTTTTCTGAAGCTTGGATTCTGTTGTTGCTTCGACATCACTCCGTCAGACGAGGTGGAAGGATGCTGGCGGACTTTTACGATCTGATACATCCTTAAAGACGAACCTCGAGCCAATCCTCTTTTTCCGCTCTTCTCGCCACCCTCCGATTCAGCCATGATGGGCACGAGCTCGAAAATTCCGTACTGGCAACTCGTCTTCGACCAGAAAGTCGTCACGCCAGAGATCGTCGACTTTCCCTATGACGGCGCCGGCACCGAGGAGTCGCCGTACGCGGTGACCTGGATTCCCAATGATCCCCGCAATCCGATGAACTTCAAGGACATGACCAAATGGCTGTACACGGTGCAAGTCTCCTTCGTCACGCTGACGGTGGCCCTTGTCTCCTCAGTGTACTCGGGCGGGATGGGTCAAGTGGTGAAGGAGTTCCAGTGTGAGGAAGAGATTGCGATTCTCGGAATCTCGCTGTTTGTGCTGGGATTCGCCTTTGGGCCCTTGCTGTGGGCGCCCATGAGTGAGGTCTTCGGCCGCCGCAACGTCTTCACCATCACCTTCGCCATCCTGACCGCCTTCAACGCCGGCGCGGCGGGCGCCCAGAACATCCAAACGCTCGTCATCCTGCGGTTCTTCGCGGGCTTCTTCGGCTCCTCTCCCTTCGGCAACTCCGGCGGCACGATTGCGGACATGTTCCCGGCCTCGAAACGCGGCATCGCTATCAGCTTGTTCGCGGCGGCACCGCTGTGCGGCCCGACGATCGGGCCCGTGATCGGCGGGTTCCTGGGCGCCGGGGCCGGGTGGCGCTGGGTGGAAGGTTTTATGGCCATCTTTTCGGGAGTAGTGTGGCTGTCGCTCGTGTTCCTGCTGCCGGAGACCTATGCGCCGGTGCTCCTGCGCCAGCGGGCGGCCAAGCTGTCGGAGCTGACGGGTCACGTCTACCGCAGCAAGCTGGACATCGAGCGCGGGCCGGTGTCGCTGTCGCAGACGCTGAAGACGGCGCTGTCGCGGCCGTGGATCCTCCTCTTCAAGGAGCCGATCGTCCTTCTGTTCTGCATCTACATGGCCATCATATACGGGACGCTGTACATGCTCTTCGCCGCCTACCCGATCGTCTTCCAGGAGTCGCGCGGCTGGAGTGAGGGAATTGGCGGCCTCGCCTTCCTCGGGATCCTGGTCGGCATGGTGTTCGGGGTCGCCTACACCTTCCCGGACAACATGAAGTACGCGCGGCGCTGCCGCGAGGCGCCCGCGGGGACGCGGCTGGCGCCCGAGGTGCGGCTCCCGCCCAGCATCATCGGCGGCATCGCCCTGCCGGTGGGCCTGTTTTGGTTTGCCTGGACCAACTACCCCTCCATCCACTGGATGGCCTCGGTGGCCGCGGGCGCGCCCTTCGGCTTCGGCCTGGTGCTGGTGTTCCTGAGTGTGTTTAACTATCTGATCGACGCCTACACCATCTTCGCCGCCTCCGTGCTCGCCGCCAACTCCGCCCTCCGCTCGCTCTTCGGCTTCGCCTTCCCGCTCTTCACCACCTACATGTACGAGAACCTGGGTATCCACTGGGCCTCCTCCATCCCGGCGTTCCTGGCGGTTGCGTGCATTCCGTTCCCGATCGTCTTCTATCTGTATGGCGCGCGCATCCGCAAGCATTGTCCGTACGCGGCGCAGGCGGAAGCGTTCATGCAGAAGTTGGCCGCTGCGCAGCAGCAGCAACAGCAGAAGCAGGCGGAGACAGAGAAGCTGGATGTGGAGAAAGGCAGTCCGGTGGCTGCCGTGGCTGGTGAGGAGGATAGCGTGGCGATCGACAGCGACAGCGACAGCGACAGCGATCGGTTGTCGACGATTCCATCACGGGCGGCCATTGAGCGGCGGGCGTCGCGGGCGTCGCGGACTTCGCGCAAGTCGGCGCGTTCGTTGGCGCGGACGGTCACGTACGAGGAGAATCCGTACGATATCGATCGGGTGAATACTTGTAACTCGATCAGTGGGCGGCCGGGGAAGAATTGAGGACGAAGCGAGATCATCTCTTGTGTTGTTCTTGGCTGTCTAGACTGAGCTGAATCCGCACCAGCGAAATGGTACCGATCCACAGTACGGGATGGCTGCTCGACAAGCACCGATTCTGGAATGGAGGGTTGATATTTCTGCCGTCGGATAGGGCTTGCTCTTGGCTGGCGCTCTTCCCAATCCACCCTTCAACCTTTAGAGCCATTGACTTCATTACGACGAAGCAAACGGCGGGTGCTCCCACGTTGCATCTTCACTACTTGCATAGCAGGCGTTGCATTATTCGGCCCTCGAGGCTACCAGCATATAGATATTTCTGACATTTGTTGATACCTAGACAAAAGCATAGATAGACTTAATGATAATCGGCACACTTACGATTTCTCAGTCCCTGGAACCGAGTATCCCAGTTCGGTAAATGTGCAAACATGTTGTGCATCATCGATCAGCTGACACATCTGTCGATACTTGTATGAACCAATTCACTACGGGAACGACATCGTGAATCAAGTGAATGAGGACTCTTCGCTTCGCCGGCCACGTATAAAAAACCTCGTCGAATCTTTCCAAATGGTGCTATAAAGCCTCCACGATTCTCCATCCTTCATCTTCTCATCCTCTTCAACCCATCAAGCATCTCGCATCCAACACCAACAACAAAAACTCACGATGGCTACTCCAAACCGATCTTCAAAGACGTCTTTCCCAAACATCCTCATCGTCACGAACAGTGAACCAGACCAAGCCAACCAGACCCTCGCGATCGCCCACGAGTTCCTCGCCCACAGCCACAACGTCCGCGTGCACATCGCCTCGTTCGCCGAGCTGGCCCCCTCGATCAAGCAACTGAACCACGACCGCGCGACCCACTACGAAGCAACCTTCCACAGTCTCCCGGGGCCGACCAAACGCGAGGCCTCCGACCAGAACGGCTTCTTCCAGCAGGACGCATTCCACGCACACAGCAGTCTGGGGAACACCCTCCGAACATACACGCAGCTGCTCCCGCAATCCCGGATCCCCTGGACGGGGCCCGAGTACGTCACGCTCTACAACCACATCGGGATCATCGTGGCAGATATATTCCCCCTGGTGATCGTGGTCGACGCGACACTGGCGCCAGGGGTGGACGTCTGCCGGACGCTGAAGTGGCGACATGTGCTGGTGGGGTCGGGGCTGGCGCACGAGTATCTCCCGCCGTCGCCGTGGAGGGGTCCAGTGTAAGTCCCCCTGCGTCTGCATCCGATGATCCAATGCGCTCCCAGCACCACTAAATCTACTGAATTACAGCCTCGGACCACTCTATCTCCCGCAGACCCTCAAAACCCTGACCCTATCCCTCCTCCTCCACCTGGGAACCACCCACTCGGCGCATCTCCAACAAATCCAAACCGCCCGGCGCGCGAGAGATCTCCCCGGCCCAATTCCAGACCCCTACTTCCCCCCACCTCTCGACGGAAAGACTGATCCCCCCCCGCTCCTCCTCCCCACCCACCGAACCTACGACCCCATGCCTATTATCCCCATGGCCATGGCCCCCGAAATCATCCACTGCGGCCCCATCACCCGCCCCATCCGCCCGCTCGGCAAAACCCACCCCGAGCTAGCCCTCTGGCTCCGCCAGCGACCCACGATCCTCATCACCCTAGGCCCAGCGACCCCCTGGCCGGCGCGCGCGCAGATCGAGTTCGCCCGCGCCATCACCGCGGTGCTGCGCGCCAAGCCGCTGGTGCAGGTGCTGTGGCTGATGAGACCGGGACCGACCGGCTCGGCCTCTGGATCGTGTTGTATGGGGCTCATGGAGACCGAGGTGGTAAGACTGAAAGCGACAATCTCCCCGCGCAACCGTCTACGGATCTACGCGCGGCTGCCGGCGGAGACGCTTGCGATGCTGCTGAGTGGGAATGTCGGGGGGGTGGTGCATCGTGGGGAGGCCGGGGTGTTCGGGGAGGGGGTGAGGTATGTTTCTTTCCCCTCTTTGGTTGCGTACTCTTACTTATAGGGAGGCGGGAATGCTGATGCAGTGGGTGTGTGTGCGTGACAGGGCGGGGGTCCCGCAGATCGTGCTCCCGGTCTACCTCGCCGACTATGAATATGCGCAGCGCGTGGAGGATTTGGGGGTCGGGGTGGCGGTTAGGGCTGCCGGGAGGGTTACCGCGGTGCAGTTGGAGATGGCGATGCTGCAGGTGCTCGAGGGGGAGGCAGCAGACAAGATGCGTGGACGGGCGGAGGCGGTGGCGGTGAAGTTGTTCAGGAAGGATGGGCGGGTGGTTGCGCATGAGCGGGTTTTGGAGATGATTGGGTTGAGGAGGGAGAATTGATTTGGGGGGGTGATGTTTTTGGTGGTTGTTTATGGGTTTGATGCAATTTGGCTGGTTTGGAAGAACGTTCTTGGTCCTGGGTTGGTGTTACATGCAGGCGGGGATTATTGTGAGTTGCTTTTGTCTTCCAATCTACTAGATTATGACTCATTCCCGGTGGCAGGCAGGAGATTTGATCCATTGGTATCATTGGGTCGTAACTGCGCGCGAATGCCGAATTTCTCTCCAACTGCCCTCGTGGAGTTGTGTACTGTACATACTGTACGTGGGACTAGGGGAGAATTGGAGTGAGGTCGGCTAAGGATTTAGTCTCTCGGATACCCGCAAGCCGGGCAGATCGACCAGAACGCCCAAAACTGGCATCCGAGGATGCCCGGTTGCCGCATCTTCCCCGCAATTTATAATGCCCGCTTCATCCCACTTCCTGCCCCTCATCAACAACAGTTCCTCTGCATTGCATCTGCATCCACGCAACCTGACTGACCATCTTTCACATTGATACTACAATCACAATGGCAAACGAACGCATCGCCTGGATCGGCCTGGGCAACATCGGCCGCGTAAGTGCAGTTCTCCGCCTCGCATCCCAACCACCCCAACTAACCCCAAAAAACAAAGGGCATGTCCCGCAACCTCGCGACCAAAGGCCCGCAAACCGCCCCGATCACGCTCTACAACCGCACCGCCTCGCGCAGCGAGTCCTTCGCCGCCACGCTCCCCGCCGACCGCGCGACCGTCGCGCCCACGCTCCCCGCCGCCGTCTCCCCGGCGACCATCATCTTCATCTGCGTCGGCGACGACCCCGCGCTCGACGCGATCATCACCGCGCTCACCTCCGCCGCCGACCTAGACCTAACCTCCAAGATCCTCGTCGACTGCTCCACCGTCCACCCGGACACCTCGCGGCGCATCGCCGCCACCCTGACCGAGAGGGGGGCCAGCTTCGTGGCGTGCCCGGTCTTCGGGGCGCCCGCCGCCGCGGACGCGGGGCAGCTGGTGGTCGTGCCCGCGGGGCCGCAGGCGGCCATCGACCGCCTCGCCCCGTTCCTGGAGGGGGTGGTGGCCAAAGCGGTGGTGCCGATGCCCGGCGCCGACGTGGGGCGGGCCACGACCCTCAAGGTGCTGGGCAACACCTTCATCCTGAACACGGTCGAGAGTCTCGCGGAGGGGCTGGTCGCGGCCGAGAAATCCGGGCTCGGGGCGCAAGTCTACCAGGAGTTCATCCATCGGATGTTCCCCGGCCCGTTCGCGGCGTACGCCGACCGCATGTGCAGCGGGGATTACTGCCGGCGCGCGGAGCCGCTGTTCGCGGTGGATCTCGCCCGCAAGGATCTGCGGCACGCGGGCAGTCTGGCGGCCGCGGCGGGGATGCGGCTGCGCAGTGTGGAGGTGACGGATGGGTATTTGCAGGAGGTCAAGCGCGAGAAGGGCGAGAAGGGGGATATTGCGGCGGTGTATGGGGCGGTCCGGAAGGAGGCCGGGTTGGGGTTTGACAATTGATTTATGATTTCCAAGTTTATAGTACCGTACTGCAGTGCAGTGCAGTGCAGTAATTATGACACAGCGTTTTTCAGTTCTCCTAGTTGGTAGTAGCTACCCATTGCCCCCGCTGATACTAAAACAGTAAGAATTACAACCAAACATCCCCCGCCTCCCCGCCCACCTCAGGGATCACCCACGACTTCCGGAAATACGTCTGCAGCACCTTCTGCGCGTACGTCTGATCATTCACGCAGTACTCGCCCCCGGTCGGCCCGATGTGCGGACAGTGCACGGCGGGGTCGTACTGCACCATGTGCTCGTGCACCTCGCGGCACAGCAGGGTATTGCGGCCGAGCTCGTAGTCCTTGCCGAGGGGGATGCTCTGCGTCAGGAACGCGTAGCACGCGGCCGTGTCGGCGTACTGCTGGTTCGCGCCCGTGCAGTAGCGGTCGTGCGTCGCGCAGATCTGGTTCGCCAGGAGCTGCGTCAGGTACGCGGTGGCGGCGGTCGTCGTCGCGTTGGTCTGCTGCGCCAGCGCCCCCACCAGCGTGTCCACCAGGAACCCGAACCACCGGAACGTCGCGTCGTACTGCTCGATCTGCCCCGCCGCGTTCCACATGATCCACGTGTCGATTGTGACGGGCAGCAGCAGGTTGCCGAACGAGGTCGCGTTGAAGGTTACTACTGTGGTCGCGGAGGCGAGGTTGGTGTTCGGCGCGGCGGTGAACTGCGTGATGCTGTAGGAGACGGGCACGCCGACGAGGCTTAGGTGCGTTGGGTCGCTGAAGAGGCCGAATAGGTACTCTGTGTTTAGGGTCGAGCCGTTGAAGACGCGCGTTATGTCGACGCGGCCTTGGATCTGTTGGTTTCGTTAGTGGGGTGAAGAGGGGGGGGGGGGGGGGGGGGGGGGGGGGG